ATCGGTCAATTGATGAGAGTTGGCGCGAGAAATCGCGCGGTGTTGTATACCATTCAGGCGGGTAGAGAAAGGGTGATCTTGGGACGTTAAAACGGCGCGCCACTTCACGACTTGAAGAGATTTCTTGATTCTTAAAAGCCTGGATAGCTAGTAAGATCCTACCCTCTTGCTCTATTGAATTTCGAGAGGATTGAGTACGAATTGGTGGCATGGTGGGTGGTTGAACTAACTAAGATCTAATTCATGGACGTGTTTTGGTTGGGGTGGCCAGCTCGCTTGGGAATTACGTCAAGTGATTATAAATGGACGGACGCGTAATGGTTTTGGTGCGCCTTGGTTATAAGCTTTGTGCTACTCCGTGCTCCGTAGTCAGACCCGAGTCATTTTTGTAAACAGGAACCTTTTGTTTGCGTGTTTATTTTCTAGAGCTCCGGAAATCCCTTCTTTCAAGGTAGCGCCTGCTCGGGAAACTTTGGGGACTCAGGAAATGTTACAACACCTTCTTTCGACCGCTCAACTACCATGAAATCCCAGATCACCCCCAAGGTGACCTCAAAACCTGCAACATATGTCTAAAACCCAGGCCTTGTTTCCAAGGTGCCCCTTACTTTTCAGAAGAGGTCGACCAACTGCCAGCTCACGCAGTACGTAAACCTTCTTGAGATACGCTTTCTTGCTTGTTTCCTTATTATCTCCACCAACGACTGTATTTAACATTCACCGAATAGTACTACACATCAAACTATTTTTTTTCAAACTATGTTCAGCCTTTGGTGTTTTATGATACCAATTAGCCATGGACGTATTCCTGGCAAGCTAGTGAAACGGCGCAATTTGTTTCAACTTTTCATCCTAAGAAGGAAGGAGCCAGGGAAGAATGGTATAGAGATTTTGCTAAGCGAGCTCAAACTGAGTACGATCCCCTGGGCCAAGTTGTCGAATGGCTGCGGACTCTATCCACAATGATCAGTGTGCAATATGTGGTATTCGAATTGGAAGATCATGGGATGACTGCAGACAAGTTGGAAAAAGACAAGTAAGAAAAAGAAGTTTCTCGGATGGCTGCAGAAAAGTTTGAAAAAGTAGAGGCGCGCATAAGCAATTGTCCCACCTTCTATCTTTGACGTACCCTGCGCTGATAAATCAAAATTGCGCTCGCCCTCCAAGGCCGTGAAACAGAGGACTAGTTGATACAGTCTGGCCATTGACAATGCTTTCTTGAGAACTATCCATGAGTGTTACTTGATGATAGAAATCTAGGGGTGCAACATGGTACGATCAATGGATGTATAATTTTCTCTAGCTGAACAGACAGTCCGCCCTATTCAATTATATGCGGACATGGCTAACTCAAAAGAAGAAAAGAAAGTCGATTCAAAATCGAATCGAAAAAAAAATCATGCGACAGTTGCAGGGTTCGAACCTGCGCCCTCGAAAGGACTAGATACCTCGAATGGAAATTCACTGATGGGAAGTTAGTTTGAATGTCAGAACCAAATTTGCTCGCAGGTACTCACAGTCTAGCGTGTTAGACCACTCCACCAAACTGCCTTGGTTATAGGCTACCATCTCTCATGTAAATATGACTGAAGGATTTGCACCTCCAATCATCGCAGTTCAGAAGGGCGTGTTTACCAACCTCGCTAGATACGACCGATGCGTAGGTACTTGAGTAAGATATCATGATTTTAAACCCAGATATCGTACCTGGGCAACCTACAACGAGTTTAAGTGACATATGAGCAGACTCGTGATAACTTTCGAACCAGAACAGTAATTTCAGAATTTGATTCACGGATTTTTTAAACGGGTAGAGATCGCTAAATCGTTTGCACCAAATCTTACCAATAGAGGAATAACGAACAGAATAGCGAACAAAATAACGAGCAACGCTCAATTGATGAATAACTGTGACTGATTCTTGAGAAAATTAGACTCGAATTGGATCAGGAGGTATGTATGCCGGATCCCACGACTGACGCATCACAACAAGGTTCTTGAAATCACGGGGGTTTTTCCCTTTACCCTGGTACGCAGACGTAACAACGCTCAAACCCCCGTTTAGAAAGGAGCTTGATGCCTGAATACTGTAATCAGCACCACTTTCAACACCGCTCTATACAGCACACTGTGAATGATCCGTGTGCTGAATAAAGCTTTTGGCACCATACACAATTGAGATCCTGAATTTACATGGTGTGAAAAGCTTCAGACAGTACAACGCCAGTAGGACCCCTATACTTTGATTACTAAGGCACACGTATCAGTAATTCAAATTTTTGAATCTTTCTGCCGTTCCAAGTTGCGTCATCAAGGCTTCAACTCCTTCATATGTTGTAGAGGCGGGTTTAAACCCTGAGCGTAATACGTCAGCGTACTCCGTACCCTGGGATTACATCTCCATTGTTATCAGTGTATACCCCGCCAACAAAGTCTTTCAAAACCGGATGAGCCTCGATCTCCAAGGTGTATCTATATTTATAGCTACAACTAGAGTTGTTTTCTAGAAACCATATAGCTGGTTTTGTTTTCCAGAACATCTTTTTTCTTGAAGTGCACTTCCGTAGATCTTCCCAAAAAAAATTTCAAAACGGGATGCCCTAAACAAATTTATTATATATTTCATAGTGAAACCGCATTCCTGTATGCAAAAACTTAGGGTGTCCACGTGAGCACTGACCATGGGACTAAAGCGAGAGGTCAGGCGGGCCTGGCATGATTTCTGCCATATCTAACAGTTGGCCGCTATTCACCTCTGTAGCAGGGTTCGATCAGCGCCGATTACTAAGTATCTACATGACAGAAGCCCCGTTGTTTAAGTTGGCCCATCTCGGCTGCTGTACGGAGTAGGCTAGACTTAAATCCGAACCCTGCTAATTGCCCACTCGACCCGACTAAAAAAAAACATTGCAACGTAACGCCTCATCAAATCAAAATTAATATAACCAGCACGACCCAACGGATCTCGGGCCAAATCGCCATTTTGCACAGCCCGCAAACCCGAGACAGCTCCTAGTACAGCCCCGGAGTACGACCCTATTGCAATTTTTGAATTCGAAAGATAGTTGGCAATACTAACTTTAGCCAAAAGAAAGCAAGCATGGGCTCTTCCGATACTTTCCCGACCCTGGAGTCACTTCATTTCCCGTCGGCGCAGCTTTCAATCTCCCAGACACTTTCATCTCTGCGTCGATCGGCGCTGTCCGTCGCCAATCGGCTCCAGTCTATTGAGACAGACGCCACCTTTGCGCAAGAGGTTGCGGACCACTATGGCCTACCGCTGGTTGCTAATGAGCGCTGCGGAAGCTGGTATATCCCGCCTACAGCCAAGGCTGGCAGTACTTATTTCAAGAGTACCGACGGCCACACCGGTCAGTGGGATTTTAGCTTTCGTAGGCTAAACTTGCAGTTGCTCCCTCTGGCTAGAGATTCTGGGGGGTTAGTCTGACCTATTTCTCACTGTCCCCCTTTGCTGATTGATGTAAATCTATGTTGGAGTGCCTTTGGTTGACCTTTGTTGGCCGAAGTATAAGCCATAGCGACAACTCCACCACTGCACGTTGATCACAAGAGCAAAAAAGAGAACACAAAAAGCTGACGACAATTTCTTTGATGCCGCAGCTGTGTAATTGTGGACTCAACTCGCCGAGGAAAACGTATGTACCGCATCCATGTGCAGCATCCCCAACTAGAGAATTATCCCGCTTCCCTTGCTCATATGGCCGCTATACATGTTATGGCCACAGTCAAACCTCAAGCGCTCTATTAACCCGCCCCTAGTGATGCCGGATGCATTATCAAAAACGGTCCCAATCTGGAGTGCCGTCCTGAACAGAGCTCTATTCCCATCCGCCACTGCATACCACCCAGTCCGCCTTCCGCCCGATTACCTCGGAGCATCGGAAGAGGCACAGATCGAGAATCGAATCGAAGGATTCGTGCATTCACTAAAGGTACGCATGCGCAACGTTAGCGTCACAGGTGCAAATTATTGCGCCAAGCCCGATCCTCCTCTAAGCAAAAGTGGCTGAAGCTTGATTACCACCAGAGCCTAAAACTTGATCTGGACAATCTGCGCCAGCAACTCGGGAAACCAATCCAGATCGCCTGGGCCAACAGGACATACTTCCACCCCGCGGATCTGCACACGAGCGATGAGTACAATCTACTCGTACTATGTTCCGCTTCGAGGCGCGTGCACGGCGCCGAAATGTCCGAAGGCGGATACATTCAAGGCGCGGGGGATGATAGCGAGGCGTGGGCGTATGGGCTGACGCCGCCGGTGTTCTGGGCTAATCAGGCTGTTCTGAAGAGTACACCTGAAGATGAATTGCCGGGGCTTATTGACCGACTGGTGGCTGAGCACAAGTTGCTGGGTATGGCTCAAGATGCGACGCTCATTGCTCCCACGCGCAATTTGTACATTGGCTCTGGGGGCGGGGTTAATGATGGAGGTCGATATGATCTTGTCATTGACTGCAATGGTAGCGCTACGGCTGTGGAGGGCAATGCGAAGCGGCTCAATTTGGGTTGCGATTCTGGGAAACTGGGAAGTCGTGATCTACGGAAATGCCTGGACAAAGTGCGTGAGTTCACCGGGGATCATCTTGGGGCGAATTCATCGCTTTCGGTGCTAGTTACTTGTGAAAATGGGAAAGATCTCTCGGCAGGGACGCTTCTAGCGATCATTTGTCTGTTTTATAGTGATGAGGGTATGTATGCGATGCCCCAGATGGTCTGGGTGATAGATTCAAACGCTATTTGAAAGAAAAAAAAGGCTAACTATTTCTCGCAGGCGACTTCGATGCTTCACTGAGCAAACGTGCGATCAGCAAGCAGTTCATTCGACAGCGTTTAGCCTGGATCGTGTCGTCGAAACATGACGTGAACCCGTCTCGCGCCACGCTTCAATCTGTCAATGCTTTCCTGATGCAGCCGCCGGATTATTGACTTTGAGCAATGGGATGGCATTGCATCACTTGGTCGGACCAGACTGATTTCGGACCGCCAGGGTCATGAAGAACTTGCTCCAGAGATCGCTCATTCGTTGTCCACGGCCTCTACAATAGCGCCGGCACTGCCCTGGTCAAAGGAATCAAGCACGGCCATATCCTCCACGCTGATATTGAAGTCGAAAACGTCCGCATTGGCCACGATTCGGTCGGGGTTGTCGGTCTTGGGCAGAGGCACCCAGCCCTTCTGTAGCGCAAAGCGGATCAAGACCTGCTGGGTGGACTTGCCGTATTTCTTTGCGACCTCCACTAGTGTTGGGTCGTTGGCTTTATAGTTTCGCACGATGGGCGAATACGCCTCGACAATAATACCATTATTCTGGCAGTATTCGTCAATGACGCGCTGTTGGCACCACGGGTGAAGCTGCAGAAATTAAAGATCAGTGATCACGATCGAACCAAACAACTACCCAAGTAGTCAGAAGAGTAGTAGTAGAAGCAAAAGCACCGACCTCAATTTGATTAACATGAGGCGGGAACACTTGCGCATATGAGCGCATCTCCTCGATGTGCCCCACACCGAAGTTGCTAACCCCGATACTCTTCGTCTTACCCTCCGCGTAGAGCTTCTCAAGCGCCTGCCACAAAAGCTTCCGCCCAGCAGAGCCTGAGCTAGAGGAGTGAATCAGGAACAAATCAACATATCCATCTGCGCCGCCGATCTTGTGCACGGAAGCCAACAATTTATCGTAGGTAGCCTCGACCGAGACTGCAGGGCTGAGGATCTTGGTCGTGACGAAGATCTGATCTCTGGGGACGCTGGTGGTGCGCAATGCCTCGCCAACTTCCGCTTCATTGGCGTAGAATTGTGCTGTATCGATGTGTCGGTAGCCGGCGTCCAATGCCTTCAGGCAGGACTGCACGCACTGGTTGGTGGGGGAGCGATAGACGCCGAAGCCGAGGCGCGGGATGCGGGCACTCGAATTTTGGAGGGGAAGAAGATCCGTAATCTTGAAGGAGGCAGACATCTTGGAGTGATTGAAGAGGTATTGCTGTTTGCGAAAGGAAAAAAAAAAGCCGACTTGGAGTTTGCCTTTCAGAAGGATAATCTCCTGGCCCCGCTTTGCGAAAATGAGGTCATTTTGGATGACTAAACTCAAACACCTGGAGCTGCAACGCCTGCGAAGGGGCAGGGCGGGTGACTACACACCAGGGGGGTCCGCCTGAGATCTCACGTTTGTTCGATGCCTTAGGCCTCCGCCAAGAACTCCCTGTGTGCCTTGTGTTTTTCATTACCTTACCACATTCTTACAACTACCCCACTTCTTTCTTACTAGTACCGTAACTCATGGTAGGTCTTCTCAATGTTACAACACTTTCCATTGCCCGTCTTATTATCCTGTCGGGAAATAAACACGAAAGTCAAATCCTATTTGCTATTATTTAGGAACTATACTATTTAGAAAGGCCGTAACCTAACACTGGAAACAATTCAGAAACCTTCCTCAACCCCTGCTCCCTTAAATCATCACATCTCCCACCTGTGCAGATCCAAAATCAAAACCAAACCTAAACTCAACAATCCTCAATTCTCAGCTAGGGTGACCATGTGCTTAAAACAAAGATTGTCCCTTCAGCCCCTGGTATCCAACTTCAAGCGTACATCTCAGGACTGGACTTCAAATTTCCAAAGCAATTTTAATCGGACTGGGTCACACTCAGTCGGATGTCCTGTAGATCATTAAATATCCTCTTAGCTTTTTCAGGCTGTGAGAGATCAACTAGAGACCACTTCGCGCCCCGCATAAACTTCAATAACACCCATAGACCTACGAAGACGATAACCTTGCTCAATAAAACCTGGTCAGTTTTTGTAACCCGAATTACTCGCAATTCAAAATCTTTTCTCACCGTGAGGTAGGATGCCAAGAATGGTAAAAGATGGAATCCATTCCACAATGCAGCCCCGTTTGCGACTAATGAGACAAAGATACAACCCAACAAGGCGAAATATGCTGTATATGGCTGCCATCGGCTGCGGTATGGATACTCACTGCCGTCCTCCTCGCTCCAGCGCTGGACGTGGGGGACTTCCTCGCGTCTGAGATAATCGCGATGTTGACAAATACTAAGGGAAAGAATCCTCGTTAATATTGAGAATATCCAAAAGCTGAATTGCTAGACCCACCAATGATAGAAGCGAATGAACGCCAGACACTCGCATGCCCAGACGATTAAAACCGCAGAGTAGGCCATTTGGCTCAATACCTCCACAAACTGTTCGCTTTTAGTAGCTCTCTATCCGAAGCTAGAGGGGGGACATTCTTACCATATCCACGGAAGCCCGCGTTTCCTTCACATTATGTTTAGTGGAATTCTCCGAGGATTGGGTGCTTTTATTGCCGCGGATCAGCTGCAGGAATGGAACCCACCAGAATGCAACTGCGGAGAATACCATAGCTCGCAGGGGAACCTGTCGTCCATCCGTTTTGCCAAACCACGCAAAGATACGCAGATACCATCGTTGGCCTTCGCCTCCATCCAGACGACTTGTCAGACCAAACAAGGTGCGAGAGGCGACATACAGATTCGTTGCAGCACAAGAGAGACACGTAAACACGAGCAAAGCATTGAACACGTCTGCCATGTGCGGAATGTTGGACATTGCAGCAATTGAAACGAATGCCGCACTGTTTGAAGGTTTTTTGCACCCGGCTTCCGCATCCAATGACAGCCAACTGAGCCGAGGGAGAGCGCAATTATCCCGCTCTATATCAAATGTTGCAACCAATCCACTCATGGTATAGCCAACCATTGCAAGCAAAGGAATGAATCTAGCGGAAAACTGGAATGATTTCCCGATTTGAGCGTCGTTGGGCCGTTCAAGTACGTCGGAGATGGTTGAAGTTTCGTCTGCACGATAAGTCCATTTTGCTTCCAGAGCAGACACAGCAAAAACTTCGACTCCAGTGTAGGCAAAGGTTGCTATCGAAATGCTCATTCTGATATGTTAATTAGCAGTTTGAACAACCGTAAAGACAAATGCCACGACTCACAGAAGAGCAGTGCTCCAGTTATTTGCCGCCCGTTTATCAAATTCTTTCGCCGAAGCCCAATCTGATAGTATCCTTACTTTAGTCCCACAAGCAACGTATGAACCGATATTCATCACTTACACTTATCACCCAAGGGCCGAGTACCTGGGCCAGCTGCTTGTCGTTAGCCCATGTGTCCATTTGGGGTTTTTTTTTTAAAAAAAACCCCCCCGACACCCCAAATCAAAGACATCTGTGAAGCACTTTACTTACCCCCACGGTTAATTGCAATCAGTGTCACGACGATAAAGCCAAGGAACAGTATTTTGAGGCTGCCTGTTGCCACTTCCAACCAACCATAGATCTGAATATTCATTAGCTGATACTTTCTCGGTCCCGAAGTTGCAAGCGTTTTGCATTGATCAGCAATAACAGACGAAGCGTACCTCAATTCTTATGGCATTGATGAAGACAAGCATTAGTGGGATTCCAAAATATAACACACCACCTTGTAGAGCCGGCCTCTCGTGGATGTAATCCCAGAAGTTGAACTCCGCAGCGGAGGTTGCCACCAGTGTGGAGAAAGACATCGAATAGACGAACCTTCAATAGCTGTCAGCAGCTCTCCTCTTGAGAATTTTGGATTTTACCACTCCGTTGTCCGAAAGATTGGTGTTTTTGCGAGGAAGGTGCGGTTTACCAATACGTGACACCGACCGCGATTCCCAGCTCTTCGTCGACAAACTGGCTAACGTATACTGATAATGCACCAGGTATCGGCCAAATGCACAGCATTTCAGTAATACATTGCATGACAGCCCATGTCAACATTCCGATTAAGAGGAAAGATAGAACCACCGCCAACGGTCCACCAAGTTCGAGAATCTGACCACCCCGCCAGTAAAGGCCTGTACCGAGAGTTGCATTGACTGTGATCATCTATTGCTGTTAGCCTTTCATTGTTCCAAGTCTGCAAAGTTTTGGATATTGCCTTATGTTGCCTATTGCAGGCTAAGATCCAGAAATGTCCCGTCTCTTGTTCGGAGATCTTCACATACAAATAAATGAACGCCTCTCAGAGCTCTACTGACAGTTCGTTGCCGGCTAGGCCTGACAATAATCCGATGCTCAGGGCACTTTGCAAGGATTTCGATGTCTTCTGGATTCATTAAAACACATGAGGGTGATCTTGTTCTGCTCGGAGAGTCATTTTGGGGATGAAGAGAAGAATTCTGAGATTCGATCTCCCCTGTGGGCAAAATGCCAGAGAGCCAGGACCGTGCCCATTCTGGCATCTCCATCCACTGTGACTCGACCGGCTGCGACATGGTGGAGCAAAGCGTATAGATCTGTCAATCCAGGATTACTACACGTTTTGGTGCGTACGGGAAAAAAAGGGGGGGGGGGGGGGGGTAACAGCTTCATTAAGAGGGTATAATCTTAAGCCACATTTTTAAGCATAATGCCATGAAATCTCATAGCTAAACTGTAGTGATTCGACGCTCCGGGCTCGTTCAGTTGCCCTGAAAGGTTTAGATTTCAATTCAATTGGTCTGCACCTGGGTGGTGGAAACGCATGAAACCCTGGACATATCACAAAACGGAGATGATGCCCCCATGTAGAATAGTCGTGCATTATCTCAAGACAGCTCTCGAATCAGCGATACCTGATAGTGCGCGCAATAAACGCAACGGATAAATCAAGGCAAAGATCGACTTTGTGACGTGGCAGTGAATTTGCCGGGGCTTTTTCAGCCGCAGCTTGAGGTTTTTATCAGGTCTCCGTGTCCAGCCCGGAGGAAGTGCAACTCGTCAAGAAAATCAAAACCATCGTTTTCTTCAGAAAAATCATGCCTAGAACCATCGTGAGACAGACTCCTCCTCAAACCACCAGTTGTCGCTATTTACGGAGAGCCAATCTTCAGGATTTACTTGAACGGTTATTCCCGGATCAAACAGACTTTGGTATTCAGGTAACTCACCTGAAGCTTAGTACATCAGGCGCAAGGCTGACTCGCAAGTTCTAGCTTATAGAAGATCAATGGTGGTTCACTGCCCCTAGAATAGTGGGTACTGTAGGTCGTGATCTTTTGCCCCCAAAATGAAGTCCGTGGCTGATACCTTTTTGTAACAAGGCTGAGCTCGAGTAGGTGATATCCGGGTTTGTTCTGATCAAATAAGCGGTCTGACAGGGAATTAGTTCGGCTCAGGATGAATAGCCTAAAGGCTGTGCTTGGTCTGTGAGAGGGGCACAAGGCATACTGAGGATGGAGTGGAGGCGCAGGGATGCAGCGGAGTGTGTTCAATAACCAGACTACAAAGATCAGACATAAATGATCCAGAGCCCAAATTTAAATTTGTCTCATGTCTTTCTCTCCAAAGTCATTAATCATGACTTCCTTTGATCATAACTGCGTAGACCATCCGGTTGAACCGGTGCAAGTCTGTGAGCTTGGAGAGGATGCGACACCGTTCCTCACAAGAGGCGCATGTCAGCAATCAGATCTTCGCACAGTGGAGGATATGGCATCTTTTCTGAGAAATAATCAGAACAAGTACCAATGTCGACTGGTGTATGTTAAATCAACAGCACCCCTTTTCTTCTACTAACGATCATAGGTCAATCTGTCAACGTACTTCTCGACGACCATTGCAGATCACTAAGCCAATGATTGACCTCCTCGTTGCTGGACACGACATAGGTTCATCATTTTGGGCGGTGGTATCGTGCTTTTATCAGCGCAGCGATGACATCGAAGGGGTGTTCTGTCTACCATTGACACAGTCCTGCGTTGGTTCCATTCATGGTATTTGCCTTTTCACCTGGTGGAAATCGATCCGACTGCTGAATAGAAGAGAGTAGAGCTATCTTACACAATAAGATACCCCGAGTACAAGCCACAAGACGAAAAATGGGTGATTCGCCAGACTGGAATTTACCACCGATACGATAAAACTTCCCGCCAAAGCCTTTTCATACTGTTCAATCCCACCCCACAATCCCGAGCCCAGTCGCAGGCTGAGAATCTACTGTGCAATTTTCACCCTGAAGTTGAATCTGATCCTTTTTGGTTACACCGGCTCTTGTTTGCAACATACTTCCCTGCATGGAGGAAATACATCGCCGTCCAGGAACAGCTCTTTTTACCCCTTGCAGGTAGTATAATTGCCACTTTGGTTAGTGGGCCTTTGGCTGTAAGTTATGACACCCTTAGAACATTGACTGCCTTGGAGACAAGATTTCTCGAAGTGCCGGCTATCTTGAAATCAGCCACAAACATTCTGGACGAGCTTTATGATGTCGGTAGTTTCAGGTCAGGACAGTCAACAGATCACCCTGGGGTCCACTATTTCAAAAACCTCCGTCGAGAGTGCATTGCAATTTCCCATAATGCTTCACATTTGCAGCAACGGACAAAGATTGTCTCAAAGCAACTGGCTGACACGTTGTTGCTTCGGGATCAGGTGCTGGCAAAGGAACAAAATGCGAGCATGCTGCAGCTGAACAAGTCGGCAGTATTCATCACCAAATTGACGTTGATATATCTTCCCTCGTCATTCTTAGCTGTCAGTGTCCCTCTGATTTCTCACACATCACACCTGCCAGACCGCAACTGACCTTCTCTTACTCTCTTACAACAGACTCTATTTGGTATGAATTTCTTCGATATGGATCAAGCCAACAATCGCATTGTTGTTACACCTATGATATGGATCTTTTTCGTCTTAGCAGCCGCCTTAACCGCAGTCACGCTCCTTTTGTACTCCTGGTTATTGCGCCACGATAGTGTAACATCACGCGCACTGGAGCCAAAAATGCAAAGAAGACCAACTTGGAATCTGGAAGGAGTGATCAGGCGGCTCACAGGTAGCACCAATGCCAATATTGAGCTACAGGCGTGTTAGATTGGAAAACTGCTTTCTTCATATATCCTCTTAGATTGGCCATTTGATCAAACTTTCATGGAAATTGGGAACTCTTCATGTAATCCCTCGAGAAACCTACGTGGGCGAAAACATAGAAAATGAAATGGTGCATAGGAAAGGTATGCAAAAGACCAAAGAAGAACATGACGGTTGACGAGAAAGTTATATGATGCCGCCGAATCCTTACATAGACCTGGGCACGGTGATTTTGTAGATGCGACATTGATTTGCACCCATCAAAACGGCAAGAATCACAACACTCTCTTCTTCGCCATGGACAATCCTCTCGGCAAACTCATCGCTATATTTCAGCCCCGGAATTTCAGCAAGCTCTGTCACGGAACTCCTTGTTGCCTGAGGCGGTATTGCAATCTCCAATAAAAGCATCGTGTGATGGGCTGCGCGCCTTCCCACCGCGAAGAGTTTGTCGTCATTTTTAGCCATCATTAGCTTAATCACCCGGTAATTTTTGATGTCGTATTGTATAGAAGGCAGAAGGTCCTCTTGTGCGAGGCTTTGGATGTGCAACTGCTTTTCTCGGGTGACAAGCACACACACATGAGGCTTTTGGAGAAACGTAGCGAAAGTGGTGAAAAGACCAACCGTGCTGCTACTATCAAGGCCCTATATTGGGGAGGGGGATTAGATAAATCGAAGATTTGAACCTTGAAGATTAAGAGCTGAATACTTGCTTGTGACTCAATAATGAGCGGACACATCTGGTTAGATCGAAAGGACACATGAATGACGGGGATTTCGTGCTTGTGATTTGGACCACTTCGCTGTGGTCTAAAAACCATGTAGAGGTCGTCATCGGTGGAGAATGATAACTGAACAATGTCTGCAGCCGGCCAATCCAGTTTACACTTCTCCCTCCACTCACTCGGATAGTTGATGTCGCCAAAATATAAAGACCCTGAATTTTGGTCTTCAACTTTGTCGCCGACAATGCAAGCCACTCTCCTACTTCCAGGTGCAAGAGCCAGCTTTTTAATCTCAGGCAGTGTTGGTAGGGAGACTCGATCCGAAGGTCTAAGATTGGCGTCCACATATGGCCCCACTGGTAGTTTGAAGATGTAACACTTGCGTTCAAAACTCATTAGGCAGGAATCCAAAAAAAAGAGTACAATCAAACGATAATCTTACTTGGACAGGACCTCCGGAGGTGGAAGCTATCAAACGTCTGCTCGTAAGGCTGATACTCTTCCAACGACATCCTACTGTCGGGATCGGATATTCTGCAGCCGAGCGTATGCCATCAGCACTCTCTTGTTGCAGAGATTGCGAAGTGTAAAGTGAAAGTTTGGTATCAGTCCAAAAGGCGATCACAGTTCCATCCGGAGAGATCTCACAGCCTTTAAAGGGCTCAGAGGCTCCCAGAACCCAATGCTCAACGCGTCTTTCAGTGGTGGGATATTGCCTCTCACGTATCAAACTATCGAGGTATATTCTCTGGAGCACCCTGCCTAGGCCAGGCGCTTCCTCTAGCAAATGTGGGCTCACCTCATTTCCTAGATCCCTGTACTTCCGGAATGTGCTGAGCAACTTAGATTCCAATTGCTGGGCGCTGCATCTCTTTGATGGTTCTGGCTGAAGAACCGCTTGGACTAGGTACGTCAGTATTGATTTCACCGCTTCCCCTTCCTTGGAGCTCCTCTGCCTAGCTTTCTTAATCAGTTTGTCATGCCAGATTGTGACCGCCGGGTTGATCTTTGGTCGACCGAACAGTGGATCTGTGACAAAGAAGCGATCATAGCCATCTGCGCTGCGATGGTTTAGTCTTCTCAATCCGTACTTTTCCACGCCAGAGCTGCCCTCCTCTAAATATGCGAAAACAACACTGAGGATACATCCTAAAGACCACACATCGCTCTGTTCTCTCATAGCTCTATATTTTGAAAGGGATTCGGGCCCAATATAAGTGCCGTCTCCGCGTCTGTTGGAGGCCGCCGAGGTAGATGCATCCCTAGGCTGTTGGAACCGGACAAACCACCCGCCGAAGTCTTTCTCATTCTCCTCTCCGTGAGATCTCAATTTTAGGCGAGACATTCCGAAGTCACTAATTTTCCAAACGGCTTCCTGCCTACCCCCAACATTTTCGAGGAACACCAAAATGTTGCTCGGCTTGATGTCCAAATGGTAACAGACCATTTTATCCCCTTCAGCGGTCCTCATTCCATTATGAAGAAATTCCAGCCCTCGTGCGAGTCCTCGAGCTGAATGAATTATATCCGTCTTCTCCATTGTGGTGCCTGGTCTGGTTCGATGGTCTTCCCTCATGTAGGCGCTCAGATCACACAAGGCTAGAGGCATGAAGATGCTGTAGTTTGTGCCAATGGCAAGGCCCCCATAAATATCCACGATATTTGGACACACCCGATCGCAGGCAAGAATTTGCCTCAAAGTGTCTCTCTCCATGTCCTTGGTGGATTGGTAATCTTTGCGTGCCATTTCCTTCGGCTGGTCATTTGTTCCGCCAATGACTGGGTCGTAAAAGTGCCTCTTAGCAATCTTCACTCGGTATACAGTGCCTTGTGCTCCTGCCCCGAGGTAATTCTGCTCTAGATAGGGTAAACACTGTCGGTCCAGGCTCTGGACTCGAACTTCTGTTTTGTTGCAAATCACGATGGGACAAAAGCATGCTTGCTGCGTCATGAATTTGTCCGGTGTGACCTGTCCCCCAAAAATATCAGTGAGGCTTTCACGCTCTGCTGGCAGAGTGCAAAGATTTGGTGACCAGTTCGTGTGAGCTAACAGTTTGGTGGTGAATGTTCGACCCGCCTCCATGGTGCAGGATGTGAAAATGAGAATAGCGAGGAAATTATGAAGCTTCCGTTCTCCCATTTCGTGGATCAAATGGTCTTCATTGAAATTATAGTCAATATCAACACCGTTGATTGGCATATCGTCCAGTAGAAGACTGCGAAAAAAGCGTCGCAAAACTTCTGGCTGTAGCACTTGCTCCGCAGTACCATGAGGAGCAAAGCGACTTTCCCCCCCCTGGCTCCTTTCCATCCTTTCCATCCTTCTTATGATTTCCACATAGATTTCATCCCGTAGTTGATTGAATTGAGTGGATGTCATGTTGGAGTTCGCGCTCTGGTTCACTGAGAGAATGGGGCCGTTTCAATGTCAGACATACCGTGGACGTCAGGTGCAACCATAGAAGAATTGCTTGCAGGACGACATCTAAAACTATGATATTCATGAGGCAATCGGTCAGGGCTATTGACACGTTCTTTGGCTGCAGTATCCCCTACCTCCTGCATTATCTTGCGGCTGACCTCGGCTTGCCCAGGTAGTAGGTAAGCTGAAATGCAAAGCAGATAAGGCAAAAAAGCAAAGATATCCCCCTCAAAAAAAAAATGAGCCACTAACCCTATTTCATTCCTGAGACTCCTGAAATGTTGCCTCTCATCCCTTTTGAGCCCATCTCACCTTGTTTCATGTGGTGAGAGTCGGGTGCCAGGCAGTGCGAGAGGAAGGTCAACTCATTGACCCTAGACTTTTTCTCCCAGAGAAAGCAGGGAACTAACCTATAGTGCTGCTCGCTGTGGCGGTATCACCGCCCCCTCCACAACGAAGCACAGATCTCTTCTTTCTATCGGAGAAAGGCTAGAGGATTCCCGTTGGGGGCCGAAAACCCGGGCGCTCACCGGAGCTTTTGTGTTCCAGAAATATTTACCATGCCCTACCAATTCGATTACTAGAAGCTCGCGGACCTTCTCATTATCCAAAATCTGCAAGCCACTTTCGTTGACCTGCATGAGAATAATGCGTACGGCACCAACGTGGTCCTGCTCCTCGCTCCCCTTATATTATTCATTTTAAAAAACGCAGGTCCTGTAAACATGTATGTTTCTTCTCGGAAACAGTACAGTCAATCATTGAGGCTAACAATTAGATTCCATAGCTCAGCTGGTTAGAGTGTAGTGCTAATAACGCCAGAGTCGAGGGTTTCCCTCTGGAAACAACACAATTCTAATCCCAGGTTACCTGGTCAACTTGAATTTTTTTTTTCGGACAGATGCTTGAACTGTGCGACGACGTTTAAGCTACGAGGTTATTTGACCAAAAATTACATGGATTGAGGGAGACCAACAATCGTATGTAGGCGACTCCCTTGACAATATCCGGTGATCAGCCAATTGTGCCTGTTGAACTACCTACGTCGATAGGTAGCCTAGTAGTGACCTAGTAGGGATAGGAGGCAACAAAAGTCAATATCTGCTGTAAGATGATCAAGAATACTTTGGTACTCCTTTTTTGACATGTTTTCCCAATTGGTGTTGCAGCCAAAGATAAAATCGGAAAAATCGCTCAAAACATGCGAAACGGTCTTTTTTTTTAATGGATGGTCTTTGATTGGCTCGAAATGTGCCCAGAGATGTGTAAAGATCTCACGAATGAAAAATACAAAATTATATGGAGTACGGAGTAGAGCTCTAGGGCCCCGATAATGTACAACATAAGACACCAAAAGGTAGATATACATCCAGGGAGGAGCCAATGGTGGGTCCAAGGAAGCTAGATTGGACTCAAGGCTCTATTTTAGCTGCTAAGACTGGCCCGGTGCCCAGGCGTGGCATTATGATACATGATTTCGCCTCTCGTGTTGAATACATCCTTGAAGGCATGTGCCGGCACAGATAACGAATTTGACATCGCATCGTTGCAGGGCAATTATATCTCAGAACTGGGAAAAATAGAATCGACAGGGGAGGGGGGGGTTTAACAAGTTAATACGACGTCTTGCAAGGTTTCACGACTTCAATCTCACCGGGGATGGTCGCTCTAACCTTGAGACTCATTATTTAAGTTAGCCGGGCAATCGATTAGCTCGTTCTATTTGGCAATCTTTCTATAAATCACGGCAGTCATTTGACTGGACTCCATGGTTAATCAGGTCGGACGATTTGACATTCTCGGCCGAGAATCGCCGATCATCTTGATAAAAAGTCAATTTATCTTGGAAACTACAAACTCAGTGGAAGTGCAGGTTCGGCTTTTCTTTGAGGGCTCTCTCGCTATTTTAAGATGTACGATCACGTATCCTTTTGTGGGAAGTTAGCACGCTTTGAACTTTGGAGAATCTATGCTGGAAATAGCACAGAGTAACTACGAAAATTCCACTCGGACTTCCCAATTTGCCATATCATTCATGACTTTCAACCCATATCCGGCGCTGTGCCAATCGCCCAATTTTATAATTCACATATAAGAGTCTCACGCTTTCTGAGCCAGATAATCGATACTACGGAGAAGGCTTTCAGATGTGCTCGGGAAATGCCTTGAACAAATCCGCTGTCGGCGAGGTTGTATCTAGCAGTCTAGCGTTTATTTTAATTTTCAGATATGATTACGTGCAACAACACGGCAGTGAACTATGAAGTTATAACTTTCCATCGTTCGCTGGTAGAGATGAAGCCCTCAAATCCAGTTTGAGCAATTCAAGTCCCGCTCACACTAGCTATATTGAGCTCCGGCCACAGCCTTACATGAAAACATTCCTCTTTTTTTCCATCACCAACAACACCCGAAGAAGTAGGGGCTTCGTCGTTTTAGGGAAACCGGTATGGGTGGGCGCTTGAACACGCAGAAAATGTTCCAATTACCCTACGTACAACTTGCCCAGAGGTGGCACTGCTGTGGACCCCTTGAATTAGGCTTGACTGAGCTCAAAGGCTGAAGTTCAGAATACAGTTGCGCTGACACCCAGCTACTTTTCTCCTGCCTGGAACAAGATTGCCATTTCGCCTTTGCTTCATCCGCGAGACGCCTGAAACCTTGGATATCGTCTACGATCCAGCAAGCTGCGGTTGTCCGTCTTCGTAGTCTCGGAAACCAACTCAAGAGGCAGTAGGTGGACTACATCTAGCGTGATAGACCTGGCGCGGCCAAGTGCCTCACCTTGGAAACCGCCAAAACTGGGGTCAGCGATCTCTAGCTCTCTTTGGCCATCTCAGTTGCTAGCTTATAAGAATTGTCTCCCAAAATCACGGGTGGGTGCAGGGGTGGGAGCTTTTCAATGGTGATCATAGGTATAAAACAATACCTTGACGTGATCGGGTTGGAAGAACGAACATAGTCCGGTGCTGTACGTCGGCTTGGCTTCACATTTGGCTGAAAATACTCAGAGGTGGCAAATTTAGGTCGTAAAACCGTAAAAACATAAAACCCTTTGAAAACTTTGCAGTCGCAAGTGTGACTACTTCATAGTTCCCAGCATTGTTGGGTTTATAGAGAAGAGTCGGCAGATCTACAAAGTACAAATGAACGCGCTTACTGGGCATACTACATTTCATGCCCAACGGCGCCAGGGCGATTGAAACTCGACCCATGTTGTAATCAACATTTAAAATGAAGAGAGCACCGAGAAGTTTGACCAAGATTGTTTTTTCTCTTTTGATTTAGAAGAAGCTAGCAGTTTAGCAGTTCAAATAATATCATCTCCCCTATTAATATCCCATTTGATTGACAAAGGGGGTGTGTAAACTAGGGAGATTTATACTTAGTGGGTCCACAAGGGATACAGCTGTAAATTTTCAATTGAAAAATTTCTCAAACTTCCAGTTTCAACTACTCATTTCGTCTATAGTTATTTTTGATCATCCTATTTCTTTCTCTTTCGAAATTCAAAGAAACAAGAAACACTCGAACACGGTTGCTCGGGTGATCTTCAACGCCGACTTGCGGGACAAACACCCCCACCTCGACACAGTTTCCCCCTCCTTTGTGCTCCATTGCTCTGATCTCCAGTCCGAATCGGAAACCAAGTCTTTTATGCCTCTCTGATCATCCTAGTTCTTTTCTTCTTCTTTACCCTTGACCCTGTTCGCGGTCATTGTCCGACACTATCATTGCCAATCGGCCCTGAATGTCTCCGCCGTGATCGAAGATGTTGACGGTTGAGAAGCAGTGGATTAATGTGCAGCAAAAGACCTTCACCAAATGGTAGATTCCCTACTTCCTTGACTCTTCGGATGAACTTCAGCTGACGAGAAATATTAGGTTGAATGACAAGCTGAAGGCACGGCGCCTGTCCATCGAGGACTTGGTCACTGACCTCTCCGACGGCGTATGTCTCACCTGTGCCCCGCTCACTAATTTCAAACTGCTGATCGCGGATTAGGTTATTCTGATTCATCTCCTCGAAATTCTTGGAGGCGAGTCTCTCGGTCGATACGCCTCGAGACCCAAATTGCGAGTACAGCGCTTTGAAAATGTGAACAAAAGTCTTGATTTCATCAAGGGGAGGAGGATTCAGATGACGAATATTGGCGCCGAGGACATTGTCGATGGCAATCAAAAGATCATCCTTGGTTTAATCTGGACTCTGATTCTGCGGTTTACTATCAGTGATATCAACGAAGAGGGCATGACTGCGAAGGAAGGATTGCTACTCTGGTGTCAACGAAAGACAGCATGCTACGATGATATAGAGGTCCGAGATTTCTCATCCAGTTGGAACAATGGCCTGGCCTTCTGCGCGCTCCTCGATATCCACCGGCCAGACTTGATCGACTACGATTCGTTAGATAAGAATGATCACCGTGGAAATATGAAGCTGGCATTCGAGATCGCATCCAACGAAATCGGAATCCCGGACCTGCTTGACGTGGACGATGTATGCGACGTAACCAGACCCGACGAGCGATCACTCATGACCTACATAGCCTACTGGTTCCACGCTTTCTCGCAATTGGAGAGAGTCGAGAATGCTGGGCGTCGAGTGGAGAAGTTTGTCAACAACATGCACGGCGCTTGGGACATGCAGAACTCTTATGAGCGCCGAGTAAAGGAATTGTTGCGACTGATCCGTGGCCAGCGCGAGCACTGGAAGAACGCCTCATTCGAGGGAACATACAAAGACGCCAAAGAACAATCTTATCAGTTCTCGCTGTACAAACGAACCGAAAAACGCCAATGGGTGGCCGAGAAATCCGACCTAGCTGCTTTGCTGGGCAATATCAAAACCAAGTTGGGCACATATCGACTGCGTCCGTATGACCCACCGCAAGAACTGAGTCCAGAAAACTGCGACAAAGAGTGGGAGATCCTTACCCGGGAGGAGCATCAACGCAGTCAGCTCATAAACGAGACAATCCGTGACATCAAGAACAAGCTACGCCGCTCCTTTGCTGACAAGGCAAACGACTTTGCACTGACCCTGAAGACTCTGTCGTTGGCGATCTCCGGGCTGGATGGTGACGTCGAGGACCAGCTTGAACATGTCCAAAAATTGAATAGCAATTTGCCACCCCTCAACGCCTTTCTCGACACGATCGCGGAATTAGACCAACAATGTGCGGAGGCCAATATTGAAGAAAACGACTTCACCACATACACCCTGGACGAGCTTGCATATGAGCTGAGCCTGGTCAAATCCAGCATTTCTAAGAAGCTGGCATTCCTTGACAACCAAATGGTTGCTCGCAACATGACCAATCTGACCCCTATCCAATTGGAAGAGTTTGAATCGGTATTCCGCCATTTCGATCGTGACTCTTCCAACACGCTTCTTGAGCTCGAGTTCTCCGCAGCACTGGCAAGTCTGGGACTGGTCTACGACGAGGACGAGATGCACCAGGTCTACGTGGAGGTTTGTGGAGCCCAACGACTGTCACAGAACGCCGGAGTAAGCTTCGAGCAGTTTATTCGGTTTATGGTCAGCGTGACAGAGGATCAAAATACTGCTGAACAGGTCTTCCAAAGTTTCAGGGAAGTTGCTGATGGCAAGGTGTGTGAAGCTTTTCTTAACCTTTGACATATCTATCGGAGTACAGTCACTAACTACTCCTGCAGCCCTACGTCACAGAATTGGATCTTCGACATTCGCTCATTCCAGACGAAGTTATTGAGCATTTGGTCAAGACCATGCCCCCACATGATGGCCCCGATCTACTCGAAGACCGGGAGTTGGCCAAATACGACTACATTAGCTTTATGGAGAAAATGCGAGAAGTACACAAAAATAATGAGAGTGAGCAATAACAGGTGTCATGGGAATATTTGCGCAGCATTACTGGTGATTATGGGGGGTTTGCACTGATTTGGTGTTGCCGTGTTTCTGAGGTTTTTAGGGAGGATTCTCCTGTTTTTTAAACGCGGATCTCTCCCTCTTGTTTTGAATTCTGTGGTTTATCTTGCATGCTGGGGTTCGGTGGTTGTTCCTTTTTAAAATACGTATTGTGTTTGTGTATACTTTTCTGCTTGTAATGTTCAGGATACCATTTGAACAATTTCAACGATTAGGACTTTCGAAAGACGTGAAGTCAGACTTGGGGAAGCGGGGATTACCAAGACACTTGAAGATGAGATAAAAAACAAAATTGTTGTTGGTCCATTTCTGGAATCATTGAAGCTGTAGGTGTGGATACTGCCGATCATTACCGCATAAACACAAGTCGTATCATGTGACAGTCCCCGATCCATCGGAGCTGATGAGGGATCCTGCGGCTCATTCTGGATTCCTAAAGGCCTCTCACTGTTTTCAATCTTTGCCATTCAAGTGACGGTCATCTTTGAATTTATCGACCATACGGTCAATTTTTGCTCATTTCCCCCCTAATCGCATCCTCAGCCACACACTCCAAGATGGACCGCAGCTTGGACGAGATTATCGCTGAAGACACGGTATGGTTCCAGCGAGCTATGAAACCACCAAAACATGCGACTGACTCACTTAATTGCAGCAGAACACTGGTCGCCCCTCAGGTGGCAGTGGTGGTCCTCGTCGTCACAACAACCCCGGTCGTCGCCACGAGCGCGATGGCGTCAGAAAGGTACAACTTGACTTCAAACCGAGGCTCTATTCTAAAAAAAAAAATTCCAAGTGACAAGTGAAGCTAAAATCTCACTCGATACCTAGGTCCGCCCTCTTTTCCCTCTGCGAATTCTCTTCTTGCTCCGTCACAATCGTAGCCAGTCCTCTGGGTCGTTGGAGACTTGCCAATGAACACGCTACGGCAAAGACATGGAAAAGAACTTTGCACGATATCTCATCTTACTTGGGGCTAACGCTAAGTCTCTTCGATAACAACAGCCATACACTTCAGACCGTGTCGATCTCAACCTGTGAGTACATCTTCATGGCTACCACAGTGTGAATTATATTGACAGAAGTCTGTTTCTAGCGACTGGGTGCACGACAAATTTGACGACGACCGATGTATGTGGCCTTCCCATAAGTTGCCGGGATCCATCTAACAGCATTACTCTTCAGCCCGCCCGTCCCGTGGAGGCCGCAGAGGCCGCGACGGACCTGATATCGATCGGTATGGGACCTCCCATCAAATTAGCTTGGATTTGATAATTTTTCCTGGTCAGAGCGCTAATTGAAATATTAGCTCTAGCACACTGACCAAGGTTCGCGTGGAAAACCTCCACTATGACATTACCGAAACCGACCTCGAAGTAGGTTTTAACTGCCCCATCCTCAACACCCACGCAAGAGCACCTCTAACCAACTTCTTCGCTGAACAGGATCTCTTCGGCCGGATTGGACCTGTTTCTGAGCTTACCGTCTCTTATGACCGCGCTGGACGCTCCGAGGGAGTTGCTTACATCACATACGCCCGCCTGAAGGACGCACACACTTCAATTCAGGAGTATGACGGAGCCAACGCCAAGGGCCAGCCCATCCGTCTTTCTCTCATCCCGGGCCGCCGTGAACGTAACCCCCTAGACTCCGCACAGCGTCCTAGACACAGTCTTCTGGACCGCGTCGAGCGTCCCCGCGACGACCGCAGCATGAGCCCCGAGAACAATGCTGATGGCCGACGCCGCCGTGGTGGCGGCCGTGCTCATCGCAGCGACGTCACTAAGCCCGCCCCAGACAACATCGACCGTTATGTCCCCGGGCAACGCTCCCATCAGCGCTCCCCTAACCGCCGCGGCGGAGGCAGACGTGGTGGACGTGACAACCGCTCCCAACAGACTGATGGATCCAACCGCCGATCCAATGCCCGTCCGCGCAAGACTCAGGAGGAGTTGGACCAAGAGATGGAAGATTACTGGGGTGGTGCGAACAACGCCGGCGGTGAAGCGACTGCACCCGCTCAGGACGCAGCCCCCCAGCAGACTGCTCCGGCCCCCAGCGCACCCGCTGCCGACGACGATATCGATATGATTGAGTAAATACTTCACGGCCACTCGAATTACGGGAGTCTCGCCTGTCTTTCGCATCTCGGAATTTTTGAGCTTCCGTGGCACATTGATTTTGGTCTTTTCTATGAATAAAGATCATCTCGGCTCTTTTACATTCTTCGCTTCTCTCTTCCTATCTCCGAGGCTTCTCGGCACGAGGGTTGAAATTCTGTACTTTGCCTCAACCACCAAATTGTAACTTGGTCCAAATCACAAATTCGGCTTTTCACGGCTTCAATTCTTCGTTTATACCCCTTGCTGGGCTCTTGTCCTTGTCCTTGCTCTAATTGCACGTCTACGCCAGCGACTGGGAGCCCATCATATGGTTTCTTTTTTAATTGCATTGCTCGGTGTCTTTTTTAGTTCCTTTCAATTGTCGAGTCGGTGGTTAAAAACAGATGCGGAAATGCTGCAAAGCCCGCATACAAAGAACGAGAGGCTGCTTGAAACCAATGAATGATGGCAAGATACAAGCGGATAGTGCGTACACACAATAAAGCCGCCGCCAATTATAATTAGAACGGGGACCGTAAATGAAAGTGGAAGGAGACATGAGATTCTTCCATGATTTCTTCTGCACCCTGTAACAATTATGAGAGTGTCAAGTTCACCTCCACAGCCCATAGGGGTCGCGGCATGCCTTCCACAACTTGATAGTACCGTCCTCACTGCCAGTTCCGTAAAGCTTGCCATCGGGGGAGAAACTGACAGACCAAATAGGGCCATGGTGACCTTTTTGAACCTCTGCAGAAGAAAGTAAGCTCGACTTGAACGCCAAAAGACACAAGGTCTGAAGTAGAAAAACTTACCCAGCTCCTCGTCCGTGTTCAAATCATAAACTCTTGCCCAGGTATCATTCGCACTGCCCGTAACCAGACGGCCAGACTCGCTATTAACCGCAGCACTGGCAACATCATAGTCATAATCCACCTTCTTCAGCAAGCGACCAGGTTGCACGCCATCAAAGAGATAAACACTCTTCCCCGCAGCGACGGTCAAAATCCCTCCATCATTAGGCCTCGTGGCCAGACTATTCAGCTCGCAAGAGCCAATCGTGCCATCAACAGCATACTCAACAACCGGGTGGCGCGATCGCAGATCCCACCAGCGGATCTTGCGGTCCTCCGCCGCCGTCGTGACGACATTGTAGTCCTGATTCCAGACAATGGACTTGATAGTGCCGCCGTGAACGCCCGCGCCGATCTCGTAGCTTGCCACCCCATTCTCAGTGGCCGGAGTGGTCAAAGATGGGAGAGGGGGTGTTGAGCCCGTGTTGGAACTGCCGCCCCGCGTTAGATCGAAGATTCGTAGCTTCTTCTCTGCGCCGCCTGTGGCGAGCACTTGCGGGTTCGCTTGGATTGGGAATGCTACTGCCCGCACGATGTGTGCGTGCTGCAGTGTGTGCAGACATTCGCCTGTGTAGGTGTCCCAGACCTTGCTGTTTCGGGTGTCGAGATTAGTATCTCATTGTGGGGGATGGTTTGGGGATTTCCTTACGCTGAGAAATCTGCTGCTGCTGTTGCTGAGATGGCGGCATCGGCGGAGAGCCTGGCTTGCCATACGGCACCTTTGTGGCCGAGGAAGGTTCCAATCCTGGGGTCTGACGTTAGTGGGAGGTATTTGGGCCAGGTTTCATTTGCCGTACCAGTCTCCGGTTATGCCATCGCGGAGCATGGGGTTATTATCTTTAGTAAGTTAGTGAATGCGCGGTAACTCATGAAAACCATTGGCCTTGTTACCTTTGCATGAAGAGATGAAGTAATATTGCTCGTCTTCAAGGGTGGACGAGAAGCTCAGATGCGTCACCGGACGGGAATGTCCGTGGCAAGTCAGAGGGACTACCTTGGGGATATCTGTTGAACGCATATCAGTAAACATTTCAACATTGTGATTTTACATTCGCATCTACACAAATCGCTCACCGGCCATCGTTTCGCTGGAGTTGAGAGAAGCTCCCGAGGTTTCAGTAATTTTGATGTTAGGTATTAGAAAGCCAATCAAATTAGCGAAGTTCTATGGGTCCAACCGAGACCACGACTTGATTTCAAGACAAAAATCCAGGAATCGGACCGAGAGAGAGTTCAAAGTGTCTAAGGAAGGTACATAAGAGATTCGTCAGGGTCGTCAAGTCATCAAACAGATATGTGGGGGTCCGAGGAAGAGCCGAGAATAAAGGATTGAAGAAAGTGGACTGAACAGTGATTTTTCCAACCAGACACCTCAAAATGAGAGAAGGCCGCTGGTAATTTGAGACTCCTTCGGTGTGTAGATGGGATGGGATATTGAATTTCAATTTCAAACAATAACAGGCAGCCCTGGAGCCGATCACCCATTAGGTAAGGCTTGCGCTAGACTAATTTGGGTATAACTGGGACACGTGAGGCTCAGGTGTCGTTTCTTATATTGTAGCTACAGTTTGCGACTAATTGGTTTAAACAGACATACCCCGTAGACAGCTAAGAAACTTGCTTGGTATTGAAGCTAGCAAGATTTCAAAAGCAAATATCTCAAAGGACCCTGCAAAGATACTTAAAAGGTTATCTTGGAAGAATAGATGTCAAGACATTGAGAGAACACATCGTAGTGACTTCTAATGTAATCTCTCTAAAATCATCTCTACACATCTACACTGTCCAGGTCCTACATCTTCAAGTATATCATCAGATGTGACTGTTATGCACCTATAGCAGAGACTGCCACGTGACCACTTCGATCCACTTTCGTCGGTCCCACTTTTCCCTTCCTTTCCTCCAACCACGCAACGATCAACTATATTGTTGCTACACATCATCTTTAAGCATTCTATTTTTCGCCATAGCTATTCCAATCCAGCCAAGACGTGACACCATCAAATCTTTGACAATTTTGTAGACGAGGAACGTCAAGCTCTCGTCAAGTTGATAGTAGATAGCGACGCGCCCCCGCCAAATGTCTTGCCCCACGTTTTTCTACCTATGGTTCTGCGACATCTCCATACTCAGACAGATTGCAAACACGGTATCTAATGACATTTTGGCGAGGGAGTGGGTGCTCCGGCTTCGGGATATAGCCAAAAGCGTTGCCCTTGATATTCCCAGGATCAGGCAATTAGTGGAAAGCAACTTTCATTGAGGACTCATTCTTGTTGATCGAGACAGGACGAAGAGCACATATAGCATCATCCCAGAAGATGTGGACTGAGACTTTAGAGGTAATAAGACATTCCAGTCGTTTAGTTTCCATTTTGGCTTCATCGCCAGTGCCAGTCATTAGTGCCTCTTTCCACCTATTCACTCACTCATGGCCCCAGAACACCTTTAACCAGGTCCCTTGCTTGAATCACTCGGTGTTTTTCACTTTATTCACTTTGAGAGGATCTTAATGGGCTTCGTGTGGCCATTTATACCGTACTTCGTGAGAACACATCCATTCCCATCTCGATCCAAGGCCCAAAGATACAAAGTTGGCATTATATCTGATAGATCATTTTAGTCAACACACAGCACCCTTCGCTGCTGCAATGCGCGGTGTATCTTCAAGTGCAGCTTGTTCCAGTGCAGGTTCTAGAAGAGAAGAACTTGCCGATTGCTCGAAACCGAGCGGAGAGTCTTGATCAATAAGCAGGGGGAACTAAATACCAATCCGATTCCAATATGAGAAGGACTTGGTCAATTGCAACTGCATTCTGAGCTTGTGATTAGGTTAATGCATCCTGGGGAACGTGATCTGATCTGATCTTCGCTACGTCTGATCCTTAGCGTGACCATTGACCCATCAGACTGTCCAACAATCGCTCTGATGGAAAACAAACTTCCTTTTTACGGTGTAGTCCGCTTCCTAAGACCGGCGATGGAACCCAGCCCTTCAAGCTTTCAAAAGGAGCAAGAGATGGCTGTCCGCTAGATTGAGAATTTGCCAGTGTTATAGATGAGTCACTTGAGGACCACCTGGGCACCCCGGGATGCAGCAAAAATCTATTAGGGCTAGAAGATCCAATTAAAACCTCCGTACCTTTGCTTGATAAGACCTCGGCGTGTTCTAGCAGGTTCCCCAAATGGCGTTACCGCCCACGTGATATGGCCATAGATGCTTCGGCGGGGCGATCCCCCGGAACGACTAAAGGACAACAACATTCAGGGGAGCTTGATTGATCATTAATTTTGCGGTGATATCCTCAAGCTCTTCCTTCTCCAGATTCTTCTCTTTGTACTGCTTCTTCCTTCAAAGTTTTATGTATGCCTGACTTCAAGCTCTCCGCAACTTTGGAGGGCCACGGCGATGATGTAAGGCTTCTGGTCCCGGCGTCTGTACAGATGCCATTGACCGCGCTTCCAACTCACACAGACTACTCACACTGCTTTGACTGATTCAGGTTCGCGCTGTGGTCTTTCCAAATCCTAATATCGTTCTTTCTGCCTCTCGCGATGCAACAGTTAGGCTGTGGAAGCTCATCTCTACTCCACCTCCCGCATATGACTATACCATCGCTGCACATGGCAGTGCCTTCATCAACAGCCTAGCCTACGTTCCTCCCACATCCAATTTTCCAGAGGGACTTGTTCTTTCAGCTGGACAAGACGCAATAATCGAAGCCAGACAGCCTGGTAAGAGTGCAGAGGATAATGCGGACGCTATGCTTTTGGGTCACGGTCACAATGTCTGTGCTCTCGATGTGTCTCCAGATGGGAAATGGGTCGTCAGTGGCAGCTGGGATTCTACCGCCCGGCTATGGAAGATTGGGAAATGGGAGTGTGATGTCGTACTGGAGGGACACGAGGCAAGCGTTTGGGCCGTGCTAGCTTATGACGAGAACACAATCATCACGGGTATGTTACCTTCATGCTGTCCTACTACATCTTACATGCTAACATGAACACAGGCTGTGCTGACAAAATGATTCGGATATTCAACACCTCGGGAACTTTACTCGGAAGCGTACAAAACTCAAACGACGTCGTTCGCGCCTTGTGCAAGCTTCCTGCCTCAAGCTGTACAGGAGCCCAATTTGCCTCGGCTAGCAATGACGGAATTATTCGTCTTTACACACTGCAAGGTCAACTTGTCGCCTCCCTGCATGGCCATGAAAGCTTCATATACTCCCTTGCTGCGCTCCCATCTGGCGAGCTGGTGAGCTCCAGTGAAGATCGTACCGTGAAGGTCTGGAATGGGACTCAATGTGTGCAGACAATTACCCATCCCGCAATCTCAGTGTGGAGTGTCGCAGCTTGCAGTGAGACCGGTGATATTGTTACCGGTGCTAGTGACCGCATTGCTCGTGTTTTCAGCAGGAGCCCAAACCGTCATGCAGCCCCGGAGGTTTTGCAACAATTTGAACAGGCTGTCAAGGAGTCAGCTATCCCAGAGCAACAAGTTGGGAAGATTAATAAAGAAGAGCTACCTGGCCCGGAATTTCTCAAACAAAAGTCTGGAACTAAGGAAGGTCAGGTCCAGATGATTCGAGAGCCTAATGGTACCGTCAGTGCCCACACATGGTCGTCAGCGACAAAGGAATGGGTTGCCATCGGTATGGTGGTGGACTCGGCTGGAAGCAGTGGTCGGAAGACCGAATACCATGGTCAGGATTATGACTACGTCTTCGATGTTGACATAGAGGATGGCAAGCCTCCGCTAAAACTACCATACAATGCCTCGCAGAATCCATATGAGGCTGCCACCAAGTTTATTGGAGACAACGAACTCCCTATGACATATCTGGACCAAGTTGCCAATTTTATCACTCAGAACACTCAAGGTGCCACCATTGGGCAGGCCCAGGAACCCGCAGGCACTGATCCTTGGGGCTCAGACCGACGTTACCGTCCTGGAGACGCTGCGGCGACTGAAGATTTGCAACCACTTGCCCCCTCACCGCGCCCTAAAGTGCTCCCTCAGAAGATCTATCTCTCCATTCGCTCAGCAAATCTCAAAGTTATTACGAAGAAGCTTCAAGAATTAAACGCGCAACTCGTGTCCGATGGATCAAAGGATGTGGCTTTAAGCCCCTCGGAGGTAGAAACTGTGGTCGCCTTGTGCGGTCAGCTGGAATCTTCCCAACTGCTTCAAGCATCACCCGAAGTTGAGTCTGGAGTGCCATTGATTCTGAAAATTGTCACAACTTGGCCTGCAGCCAACCGACTCCCTGGCCTAGATATTCTCCGTCTACTAGCGGCTGCTGCGCCATTTACAGCATCTGCCGAGTACAAAGACGAAAATGTCGTGTCGGGTGTGATATCCAGCGGTGTTTTTGAACATCCCCTTAATGTCAACAATGCAATGCTCGCAATGCGAACATTTGCCAACCTATTCGAGACGACTGCCGGCCGAGACCTAGCCATTAGCTCATTCGATGAGATCCTGGCAGGAGTGAAGTCTGCCTTGGCCAGCAGCGGAGAGTCACCAAACCGCAACCTTACAATCGCCATCACGACACTTTACATAAATTTTGCAGTTTATCTTACCTCCGAGGGTAGGAACCAATCTCCAGAATCTGCCGAACGGGGTCTGGTCCTCCTAGAGGAACTCACTCGGATTATTGCTGCAGAGAAGGACTCGGAGGCTGTTTACCGAGCATTAGTCGCGCTTGGCACACTGGTGATAGCGCTCGGGGAGGAGGTCAAGAGTGCTGCCAAGGAGGTCTATGAGATTAATGGTGTTCTCGCAAGAGCCTCAGCCTCTGGTTCTGGAAAGGAGCCGCGCATCAAGGGCATCATTAGCGAGATTCAGGAGGCTCTCTGAGAGTCCGTGCTACTCTTTTTTTTTATTCGGTATGCGTCTTTCATAGGTGCATTACTTCCTAACGACGACAACGCGATTCCCATACAAATTCTACCCATTGCGCTCTCTCCCACTTCAGAGTAGACAAATCGTATAATGTTCTCTCGTCCTTGAATTAACTAGCATTCTCAACAACTCATCAACTGAATCTCTTACAATCTCCCCTCCGCATCAACCCCAATCTCCAAAACCTGATCAACACCCTGATACTTGGGCAAATCAAGCCCATACTTTTCAGTTAGGTCCTTCGTTAAGAACCTACCGCCAATAAAATGCCTGCCCCGATAAAACGCCACACATGGCTTAGGCGCAGATAGACTGACCAGCGCATGCGGCATGAACTTCGCACCGGGTCCTTCTTTTGGTGGTCCGCTCTGGATATCCCACGAGCTGGGCGCATCAACACTCAACACCTGAACGTTGGCAGCTTCGATTTGCGAGACGATGTCACCGAAGGGATCACGCAGTGGCCCACCGAAGGAGAAGCCGAAGATTGCATCAACAAGGAAGTCTGTCGTCTTTAGGGCTGGTTGGAAATCGTCTATGAAGGGGACTGAGAGGTTTTGGAGTTGGGTTTTGAGGCGCTGGGTTGAGTCAGATTTGCATTCTACTTCTTGCTTTTAAAGTTCTTTTTGTTTGAAGTTGCGTACTTGGTAGAGCTCGTTTTTGCCTTGTTTTGGGTAGTAAATCGATGGTGTATAGCCAAAGTGGACTAGGTGCCGAGCAGCTACAAGGCCATCTCCCCCTGGGGATTTGTTAGGTTGTAATTTCCCGAATTAGCAAGATTGGAGTTGCTTCTCACCATTATTGCCTGGTCCACAGACAACTAGAATATTCTTGCCTGCACTAGGGGGATGGATCTTCCAGACTGTTCGCTCATTATATAAGAATGTCCTGAGTAGATGTTCAAGATTGATGGAGCTTACCGGCTTGAGAGACAGAGAGGCCCGCTAGCTCCATTAACTGGTCTAGAGACCAGCCACCAGTCTCCATGAGGTCTTTGTCAAGTGACGCGGCATCTTTGGCTGAGATTGCCTAGGACACTTGTCAATGTGCATGCTATTAGAGCCAAATCAGACAAATATACCTTCAACGACATTTTTGCTTGTTTAGTGTAGCGACGAACGGAGAGAGGTAGACGAAGATGGGTGAATTTAGTATAAACCATGTAATTCTCTCAATTGCAGAGCTGGACTTTCGGCTGATTGAGCAAATTGAGAGAAACTGTGCACAACAAACCAACAGCCAGCTCCGATGTAGATCTACTGAGGGTCCTCAAATCATTACATCATTAATACGCTAGTCCATATTTGGCCACATCGGATCAAGAGTTCTTCCGCGCCTCCTAGAACTTTTGCGGAGGGCAGACGGTATCATCAGAGGAACAGTCTTGTGCTCTCTCTATTTGAAAAAGCATCACGCACCCGCCAACATGGTTCTCCGGATTCGACTCGCCCGCTTTGGCAACAAGCACAACCCTTTCTATAACATCGTCGTTGCGCAAGCCCGGTATGTGGCACTCCCCCGTGAATGGATCCCACCGATATCCCGGCTCCAACGCCAAACACCGACGTTGCTAGACTAGAGAGTGTTTCATAACATTGTGCACTACTTGTTCATGAAGATTTTGAATTGACCCTATTGTGTCTAGCTCCGCCCGCGGCGCTAAGCCCCTCGAGGTTATCGGCACCTACAACCCCATCCCGAAACGTCCCACGAATTTGTACGACGAGAACACCGAAGCCCGCCCATATAAGGAGATTGCCCTTGACCGGTCACGTGCAAAGTACTGGCTCGGTGTTGGTGCGCAGCCTAGTGATCCTGTCTGGAAACTGATGGGCATGGTAAGCCTGACCCTTGTTTTCTGTTTTCTCGAGAGTTTCGGGCTTCGGAGTCTCCAAGGAAGATGGGCGGCTATTGTCGGGTCTGCGTTTTCAGCGAATTACATGGATTGATGGAGATTACGTTGGTATTATACGGACTCCTTTTGCTAACTCTTGGACCTCTTTCTAGGCTGGCCTTGTTGCGCCCAAACCTACTACTTTTGACAAAGCTTGATTCGGCTTGTCTGGTTACTTGACTCGTTGACTCATCGGGGTTGTCTCCATGGGTGGCTTGTGGCATGCTTGACCTCTTTGTGGCTTTCCAAGGTCCTCCTCTCCGACATTCTTTGTGTACTTGGCCGGACAACATCTTAGAACCCTGGAAAATTCGAGGCATAGGACCATCGATCACGGGTTGGAAGTCGCGCTGTGTTTTTTTTTTTGTTTTCCTGATTTTGCTGGCATTTTTGGCGTTTTTGACTTGCCTTGTGGGAATCTCTGTATATTATGTGGCAGCCTGACTGCTCTGACTTGATGCGGTAGATGAGCCGCAGCATGAATATCTCTTTATACGACTTGAGTTTGTGCTCTCTGGCAAAGAACACATGTCGCATACGACACACATAGCTAGGCAGGCACGTACTCCATGCCGAGGTAGGCTGTGCGTTGAAAACACACTTACCGCTCATACATGCCTTGCGGTGTAGAAGTCATGAGGTGCTACTTAACTACACTCAACCCATTTAAATTTTGAAAATGAATCGAAAGACACGCTTAGATGTGGAAACCGATCGTATTTGTCAGTCATGAAAGCCAAAACATCTGACGCGCCCATGACCCGCTCAGGCACACGTTCTGAAGAGGTAGTGCTAACAAAGCCCCTAAGCAGTAGCTTCTCTCCACGGCCCAACCAAATGAACCAACGCCCCCTCGATAAGTCGAAGTCATTTCCCCATGGCAGCCAATCCCATGTGTTGCCGGGGTTGGGCTCGTGGCAATTGGTCAGTGACCCTGGAGGATCACCAGTTTTTGACTTTTGGGATTCCATGGACGTGTGCGATGACCTTGGATTAGTTGTCAGATAGGTTGGCTGTATAGAGTATATTATAGAGCAAATGACTTGGAGTAAGAGGCATCCAATGCTAAGGCGTTGGCTTTTGCGATCTAGGCTAGTTGACGGCAGTTATAAATGTGTTCAGCCTTAGAAGGTTTATTCAACGAACTGTCAGCCTAAATGCATAGAATGGAATTTAATACCGGCACGAGATTACCTCTTCTGCCGAGTCTTCATGTAGCCAAACTAAAACATCCCTGTGATATGTGAGCTTCATTTCATTGAGCCCCAATCGCGTGCAGGGCCAGAGTACGGTAAGCCGCATAGGCACTTGCTTGCATGGCCGGTGCTTTTCCAGAAGAGACAGATTCATGATCCACCCGTCGATCTTATAATCTGTAGAGTACGGAGTACAACAGACTCCGTACAGAAACCGAAAGAGAAGGGGAAAAAAAACCGGGGGCATTCCACAATCACCTCAAGTCACCTCGGGGCACGCACTTGGCAACTCTCTGCATGCGGTCAGTTTCCAGGGCCAAGGTGTAAGACTGGGTAAAGTTGTGTAATTTTGTGGCCATGTACTGTCATATACCTAGAGGTACATTCTTTAATATCATAATCCACATACAACCCCATGTACCTCCGCTGTTACATACCTGTTTCCCCACTGAGTCGCGTCGTGAAGGGCAGATCCATGGATCTGGCACTTGTGGACTGGCACTCGACCGTTCCGGACTCTTTTCTTCCCCCCTCCCCTGCACTCTCTCCTTCATCCCCTCCTTTCAAACCTGTTTCTCTTTTGCATCCATCTTACCCATTCTCGTCAACTTCCATCTTTATCTCAATCGTTTTCAAAGCGCTCACAATCCAGCTGTCGCAAATCCGATGAGACACCATCCGAGTACACTCGACTTTCGATCGAATCGCTAATCGCCTTCGCCTTCGCCTTTTTCATTTCTATCGTTGCATCGCGTTTGGTGTACGATCTCTTGTCGCATTACCGATCACTACGCATAACCTCGACCCTCCGAATCCCGCGACTCCTTTTTTTTCTACCTGGATTATCTTCCCCTGTGTGATCGCGAACCCCCGAAAGGCGAAAAAAAAACTCGAAAAAATTCACATCTCGTGGAGGGATGAGCGGCAGCTCTAGCCAGTCAACTCGCACGAGTCCCGGCTCTTTTGGAACTACACAGCTCACAGAGTCCGTGTCATCTGGTTCGCCCCCACAGCAGTCACTCCCTTCTTTGCAGGCGCCTTTGACGGCTCAGTATGCGATGTCGACCGACGTGTATAGTCCTAATGCGTCGCAAGCGCCTTCATCTATGAACCCATCTTTCACATACCCTTTTTCCCCTATCGGTACAACAGCTTCATTCGATAACAACATGCGCTTGGGCGATAACGATCGCAATCTCCAAGGCCTGAATGGCCTGAATCGTGGAAACGGAGGCGCGATTCTCATGCGCAAACTGCCACGAAACACCAGTCGTGAAGCTCTGCGCAGCATGCTTCTTTTCGCCAAGGACTTTGTTGATGCAGACTTTGTGACCTTGGATTTGCCGGAGGATGACGGGTTCTTGACCGCGATCGCGCGATTCATGACTTTGCCAGCTGCAGAGGAGGCCAGATCCCTCCTTGATGGTAAGCCGAACTCCAAAAACGATGCCAACATGGTCGTCGAGATGTACCCCGGTCCGATGGGAGCGAATCTATCGAACACGCGCCGTAACACCATCGATCACACCGCGAGTCGTGCGTTAATGGGTGCCTCAAACGGTCCCCTTGCGCGTCAATCGTCGCGCTTCAACGGCACTTTCCAAAGCCTAGAGAGGCTCTCCAACACCAACCCCAACCAGCCTATCGGCGAAGGGCTCCCTTCGACTTCTGAATCAGGCTCACGTATGCACAGCCTTTTCTCTCCGCAATCTCCGATTGGAAATGGCATTGATAACCTCCCACGTATAACCGGGAAGTCTATGATTGATGAAGACCCAGACGAGGAGACGGGCGAGTTGCTCAAGGATCCGGTGGGCTATGCAGAGAACGGCCATTCTACCAACATCTCCGCAGGACGCCGGGCCACCAACCCTCAAATCCCGATTAACCGCTTTGCCAATATGTCCCTTTCGACCAACATGTCCTCGCCACCTATGCAGAACTACCCCGGGGGTGGCGCGCAACGCATGGGCGGTGGAACACCCGCGTCTGTATACCCGAACCAAGGTCATAGCTTCCCATACAACGCGCAGCACACACCACGCCACAGCCTTCCCGCTGCGAATCCGAATGACCTGAATCCTCCTTGCAACACTCTGTACGTGGGCAATTTGCCACCCGACACTTCCGAAGAAGAACTCAAAGCCCTTTTTTCCAAACAACGCGGGTATAAGCGACTTTGTTTCCGGAACAAGCAGAACGGACCCATGTGCTTTGTGGAATTCGACGAGGTCGCCATGGCCAGCAAGGCCCTCAATGAGCTGTACGGCTACAAGCTGTCGAACAGTGTCAAGACTGGCATCCGTCTCAGTTTCTCAAAGAATCCTTTGGGTGTGCGCTCTGGTCAACCCGGCAGCATGAACTCGTCCAACGCGGCCTCTGGACAAGGCCCAGTCCCTGGAGGCAGCAGCCTGAGTGGAATCCACAACAACATGTTCTCCGCTGTCAATGGTCCCCCCCCTGGACTGGCAGCACCTCCTGGTCTTGGCATGCCCATGCCTGCACCGCCAATGCGTAATGGCAGCTCTATGCACACCCCAATCAATCCGCATGCTGGAATGATGAGTAATGCCTCATACAACCCCAACCCGGGCCTGGGAATCAGAAACGGAGTCAATTCAATGATGTCACCGCCGCCCCCTTCTAACGCCAACGGCAACAACACTGCAGTACCAAATCCGAACGGCTATAATACCTTTTACCCTGACTACATGATGGGTCGTTAAGCCCATTCAAGCGTTATATCAAGATAATGCCCGGCATGTTTGAACGAACTGGGATATCTGGCGCATTTGGGGATATTCGTTTCATGAGCTAGATCAATATTCGGCGGCTGCACAACTCACGGGAGTACTGTTTCGGATTTGCTTCTTGTTTTCCCCCCTTCTTTTTCCGCCAGTCCTTTTATTGGCTTTTCGTCTTTCTGTTGCATGGGAACCAGGGCGCTCTACATTCCTTTTTCTGTTATCTCTTTTCATTGGGAGGATTGCATTTCAGGTCATTGCCAAACTTGTATTCTTATCTGGTCGGTGCGAGGCGCTCGAGAGCGCGTATGTTTCTGTCACCCATTGCGTTTTGTTCACATCTTCATACCCTCGCGATTTCTTGCTTTTGTTCTTGATTATCTCGCTCGTTTATCCTGACTCAATGGGCAATGCACACTAATGCGTGTTCGCTGTCTCCGCGCTAACCAGGATCTATATGAGTTGTTATCTACTTTATTCCACGTGATTCCCCCTGTTTGTTACATCTATCCTCTGGATCTTTCTCGATGCATCGCCTGCGTGGATCGGAAAGGATTTTGCTGATTTACTTGCTTTCTCTGTTACAATGCGTGTTTATCTCTGCAAGTACGAAAAAGAAGGGTCTTATGTGGCTTTCTTTAGCTTCTCTTCTAATATCTCTTTACTCAATGGCATGAGCTACGGAATGACATGACTTCGGCTCGCGTCGACCACATATTGTCCCAGGCGTTCGCGTTGGTTTTATCTCTCTCCTGCCATGTTCCTCACATCCGGTGGAGACAAAGGCGTCCAGCCCATGAATTCTGTCCGAAGGCTCTTCTCTCATCTTGCTTGCATTACCACTCGTTTTACTTTGGGCTTGGCTTAGTGCTTTTCCAGAAGAATGAGGAAACGAGGTGTGTCTATTATCTTTTTCACTCTTCCTCTTGCCCCGTCTTGCTTGGGGGTATGATTCCGCTACATTTGCTTCGATCTGTACTTGATACAATGAACTTGTTCCAGTAATCCTGGAGAAAAGACCCATTTAATCCATCTATGATAACCTAGACGTCTGGTAACGGGCTATCGCGAGACTCTTTTGGCATCCTTTTGGGCGGCTCTTCAAATGTTTTCATAGTATTCGTCGAACAAATCCTGTAAAGCCTCTGTTGCAAGGGTCAGCACACTCAGCGGTTAGATGTTGAATAGCTATTATTATGTTAGTCACAGCATAAGGAATGTTACGAAGATGTTTGCTTCGGTTGTATACAGTGGAGTTGGGGTCACGTGATGACACTACCGAGAAGTTTCTTCCACCTTCACCTCCCGCTCCAACCCGGCTACCTCCCATCCTTCAATTATTGCTGCAAAAGGCTCAATGGCAGCTGGAACTCCTTGATTCTTAATATTCAGCTTCTTTCATTTAGTGTGACATTAAATTCTTCCTCCCATTACCCCATCATATCCTCCAAGATGCCACCCCGGATACAAAGCCGGAGTGTGACCAACACCCTGCTTCCCTACCTCACAGCTACCTCCTCTCCCACATCATCACTTTCCTCTCTTCCTTCCCTATCCTCTACATCATCACAATGCATTTCCCGTCAGTTCTCTGCCACGGCAGCACCACAGGGACAGACCAAGCTCCGTCGGCAGATGTTCGAATGGCTTAACAGCGAAGGTGCCGTGTTTAAGCACCATATTCCTGGAGAAACCAACTATGTTACTCGCTTAAAGCAGCGAGGTAACGAGGGTGCGGAGAACCCTCGTCCATTCCCCAACAATCAAAATTTCTTCAGCGAGCCTATTTTGAGTGAGGAGCTACGGAACGAGGTCTATAATCGCGTCGTTGAACAGAACAAGAGTCCCCGCGTCGTCAGCGTGGAGCTTGGAATTGATATGAAGCGTATTGCCGCTGTCGTGCGACTGGTAGAATTGGAAAGAAGACAGCGCGCACAGGTAAGAGCTTCTCCTCTTTCTGTCTTTTTCCCTCCTTTCCTTTCCGACTTTGCCTCGACCCTCCACACATATGATGAGTCATAAAAATCGATTAGTCTTGAAGACACCCACATGGTTAAATCTTACTTTTTTGAACTGAATCGTGTTGCCCTTACATTTTGGATTTCTATCAAGTTTTATTTTGGCGCGTCACAGGAACTGACGAATCTCAAATCAGGGCAAACCTCTAGCACTGCCATATGCCCGGGCCATCCATGAGATGGTACCCACCACACCCCTCGCCGAGAAAGGCGAGCGTCAGACATACCATGAACCTATCAACGACCTCCCCGCCCACCCCCTGACAGGCTCCCAAATCTTCTACCCAGTTCCCGAATCCCGCTCCTTCAATCGTGTTGAGGCGGGTCGCGTGTTCTCTGGTGCCCCAGCAATGGAGCACTCTGAAGCCGCGGAAATCTCTCACCCTTCCGACCTCGTCGAAAAAATCATCGAGAACCCCAACTCTATCGGCTGGGTCGGCAAGGGCGCCAATGCCCGCCAGATTCTTCAGCCTGCTGACGTGCGCATTCCCCATCCTCATCTGGTTGCTTTGGAACGCGATCGCCTGGCGAACCCCAACGAGCGTCGGGCTGTTTCGGATCTCCAGTCTAAGAGACTCCAGCGCCAGGATGCGATTGAGAAAGAGCGTCGTGAGCGTATCCAGGCTCGCCGTGAGAAGAAGCTGACGGTTGTTTCCCCCGAGGACTCGCGCTTCGACTATCGTATTAAGGATACTATATACACTCTGGAAACTACTGGCGCTGATGGCCGTGGTTACAAGGCTGTTGGTCGTCGCTACGGTGTCCCCCACCGCGACCGCACACGCGGCGAAGTCAAGATTCCCACTCGTGTTGAGGCTTGATTTTGAAGTGGTCCTGACAGGGGCTATTTGTTCTTTTTCTTGCGTTTTTCAGCAACTTTCTCGGCTACGGCCTTTGTAATTTTACCTTGACGCATATTCTACCATGGATGTATGAAGGGGGATTTCGCTTATGTAACGATATACCGGATAATGCCTGGCAACTTGAAAATCTTTTCCCGTCTACTTTGTGCTTCTTGCCGCTTTCGGATCACTCAAGTATAGCTGAGCATGTTCGTGTTTCGACTTCCTCAGTCGACCAGTGAACACTATATAATCACCTCTCCACCTACGCACCCCTCCAGGCATTCTTTGTATCCCCACCTCCGTGCCCTATGGACGAGTTTGGACGATCTTGTTCACTTTAACCCCCGGACTCGTCATAGAGACTACCCCGGATGCTCTCATATACACAATGCAAAAGAGAGGATATAACCTGTCGCTCTTCCATCTTATCTTCCCCCTCTTCGATGTTGTCTTTGGTTCTGACTCCGCCACTTCCTATGTTCGGGGGTGCATCTATTGCCTTCCTTTCTGGCCCTCACCACGTGTGCGCAAGTGGTTTCAAAGTAAAATCGACACATCTCGTCTTCAGCGGAGGCACCTTCGCCAAGTGTTCAGCGTCTTGATATGCTCCCTCGCAAGCAAGCTTTCTTCATCCCAGTTGTCATGAGAGTCGCATGTGTAGTTGGTATACGCCGTACTAATAAGTGATTTTTGCTGGCGGAACCTCCTGTTGCATAACGCAATATCGCTCCACCGTATCAGACCTGTTTCAAACCTCTCACTGAGATTGGTGAAACACTGTGCTGCAGCGTCATTCCGCATCAGACCCGCCGCTGACAGGTTGGAGAGACAATCATGTCAGGGTGACATGCCAAAATCCAGCCTTGTATCGCCTGCTGTCTATACCGAGAATTGTGTCGATTGCTTTGGGTTAGGGCAAGAACATTTGAGCATTGGATGATTGGGGCGTGAGTGTCTTCGGTAAAACTGACATTCTCTATCCACCGGCTTGATACCTGTTACACCTTCTCATGGCCTAGATTCTATCTTTGTAACCAACACTGATAACGATGGGGAAATCACCAAAATACCCGAATTGCGAAAGAATGTCTAAAAAAAGACCGATAAAAAGACCACCCCCAAAGTATTTGCCTAAATGAGCAATGCCGATTGGCTTGACCTACTGGTGGTCACATCAATCCACTATTTATGTGTTCTCAACCAATAAATAAATCGTTGGTGTCGCATACTATTCATTCTCAAATGAGTCCTCAAGCACTCAGAAACAAAAGAACCCCAAAAATAGCTCCAACCCCGAAATACAGCCATTGTGGCAACCTTGTATTCATATCTTTGAATTCCTCTCATTCTCCGGGATTAACAAGGTGGTCATATGGTCAACTCTCGCCTCCCCGACAGGCCGACAGACCGACAGCGTCGCCTCTTAGTCCCAACCCATCCAGAGATCGCATCGGTCTCAGAGTTATCTTCCTTGGGGGAAGTTTGAAAAATGGACCCGATCGAAGTGAGGGCACTTTGGAGCCATGAAGTTGTAGTTGGGGAGGTGGGGCCGGATGGTGAATTTGATGATTGCATGGTCGAGCTCAGTGAGTGGTGAGATGCGGTGTTGTTGGTATGTGGTTTAATAAAAGCAGATATTACCATATAGTGGTATATGGCGTAGGAGATAATACCAGAATAGACCAGGATGTAGGATGGATGTAGTGTGTAAGATGTATGTAAAAAAAAAAAGTAGCATGGAGGATGTAGAAGGCATGCTATGGAATTTAAGAGAACAGAGACCTATCACATGCATAGTTCTCGTGAGAATCGCAGACAAAGCCCGGATCTAGATTACGCGCATAACCAAATCTGTACTTGACATCATTTGCTGTCTTCTAAAACCTCTTGATTGGTGCTATGGTTACATTTGTGCAGATCTTATGATTTGGACTTGAGTATAGGGCTTGCGAATCTCCGGTCCTCGTATTTGATTGGTGGCTACGAGGCGAGTTCTTTGCTTTTGAGAGATTGCTGTATTACTTTGGGTACGAATTGGGAAAGGGATATATTGTGCATCGTATACAATTTAGGCTGTAGACAGGTTATACGAGACATCTTCTTTGTCTCGATGTTTCGGGGAATGTCATAGACTTACTTGCTTGGAGGAGGATACCTTTAAGAATAAGCCATGAATTGCACAACTTCAAAAAGAAGGATCAGCTATCCAAAGTAAATTCTTTGAATACTTTGAATACTCTGGCTAGATGTATCTGCTAGTTGGTGAAATAAGTACAAGGTAGGAGGATACACCAAGCCCTCTAGCTGGTAGTCGGAACAAACAAAGAAAATTGTACAGTGAAAGATGAAGACATGAGGACATCTCGTTCGTATACATGAGGATGTCCACTGCACGAAATTTGTGTGCAAGAATGGAAATACCGAGCAGTGGACGAATGAAACCAGCCAGAGAAAAAGACAGTGCGTAAGCAGCTGAGTATACAGCCCAAAAACAACAAAATAAACATATCTACAGGAACAAACAAATTGTCACCGAGGAAAACCATGCACTGTGTCCCCGAAGTGAAGTGCAAGCTATCATGACAAGGAGATGAGAGGATGGGGTTGAAGAGAAAAGACACGTTGCTATGCGGGGGTATTCAATGGGGGAGACAAAAAGTCGAATCAAACAGATTGGGCAACGATCATTGGAAATGTGTAGAGACCGACCAACCAAGACATGGTGACCCATCCAAAAACAAATCCGATTTCATTCTCTATTCGGAGGCGCGGCCGTCGCATCACTGATTGGCGCTGCGTCTCCCGGTGTTGGAAATTGCGGACTCGAGAGCGAATCTAAGCTGTCGGGACTGCCGCTACCCCATGAATCTTCTCGCAAGATTTGCGCAAAACCTGGCACGCTTGGCTTAGTTTCACGAAGATCGGGCTTATTTGAGCGGGAGCTCGAAGGCGACGGGGGATCCACTTGGTGCGGTTCTTTGCGGTAGCCACCTTGCATCGGGCTGGCTGATGTATCAACAGCTGGCGAGGCGGGGCGAGGAGAGTCCAAGAACCCACGCCATTTGCGCCAGCCTTCAAAGTCAATCAGGGCTTGCATGCAGCCCCATTCTGTCACTTTTTGCTCAAGCCAAGGGAATCCGACGGGCTGTACGAGAAATGTTAGACTATTATTTGAGAAAAAAAAAGGATTTAGTCGCAGTAGGGAGCAGGCGTTACCTTGGTCAAGAAATCGTTGCAGCCAGCAGCCAAAGCCTCATGTCGGTCACTTTGCAGACTGCTAGCTGTCAACGCGACGATAATGACTGGACTCCGGAACAACGAGAGATCGGGCAAAGTGTCCTCGGCACTGACCGTACGGTGAAGGCCGGGTCTTCTGTCCGCGGCAGAGGTATTGGAAGCGCTGAAGCGACCGGAGGCTGTCTTTGGGAAAACACCTATGCCGTTTAAGCGCTCCAAGCGCCGGATTTCCTTAGTCGCTTCTAGTCCGTTCATCACGGGAAGCTGGATGTCCATCAAAACCAAATGGAATCCACCTTGTCGCCATTTCCGCACTGCCTCTTCGCCATTCATTGCACATTTCCAGCGCACCTTCAACCTTTTCATAAAGGCCTCCAAAAGCTTCTGGTTGATGATGTTGTCTTCCACGATGAGGACATTGATTGGCGGTACGGTGCCATCAATCAACCCCCCAAACATAGCACCGGGAGAAGTGGCCGCTTTTGATTTTCGGACAACGCGTGGTGATGCAGTTGCCGGGGGGGTGTGTGATTTCACCTGCGGAGATTCTACCGGCGGTGCTACCACCGGGGGGGTAGGTATTGCGGGAGCGGAGGGAGCCGGGATAGGTTGGGAATGAGGAGTAGCACCGGTTTCTATTGGGTGTTAGTGGCCATGTTGAGCAAAGCCAGTTTTGTGTATTTTTTTTTCTTGAGACGTACCTGTTATGACCGGTGTTTGGGGGTTTTGGTTGTGAAGAATAGTAGGAGAATTCGTTTTGTGTCGTGTCAACGGAGGTCGTTGCTGATGTCGTGCCCTACGGCTTCCCGGTGATGGCAGTAAAGGAGCAACCCCGGTGTTGAGAATGGAAATTGACGGCGCATTAACCGTTGTTAAGGGAACTCCCGCGTGTGCAGACGGTGTGCCCGCCTTCGCATTGACTGGCGGCATGAGAGGGAAGTAATCGCCATGCTCGCCGGGTTCAGAGTAGTGGTGTTGATAAATCGAATGGCGCGGCGATGGCTTTGGGGTCCGGCGTGAGGGAGCATCGATCACCAATGCCTCCTCGATTTTTTGTCCACCAGGGTAGTATGTATCGAGTATAGATGACAGGAGTTCCTCCGGGCTCAGGAGGCGCTCACTGTGGCCTGGTCGATTCGTACCCTCTCGCGGCGTAACCCGGATGGCGATATCGGGCGAGTCAAAGCTTCTCCCTAACGAGTTCCCGTATTTCATGATGACTTGGTCGCGTAACTCATCTACCACCGCATCCTCTCTGCACGGCACCAAGGTGGCCGAGCCACCGGGCCGTTTGACCCAAATCCGACGCGTGACCATCTCGCGAGGAACGAGGGGAGTGAAACCAGTGTCCTGGTCTCCCGAAGAGAAAAGACTTCCCTCCAGTAGCCCACTAATCAAGTGGTGATGTGTTGCTGGGAGAAGAGATTGGCGACGGATCGCAAGGCTCGGGCGCTTGCGTGAGGGAGGAAAGTAGGAGGCAGAAGGTCGGCGATCATTCGTAGGCCACTCGGGAACAGTGTTCGGGGTCGGTGTCAATTGAGTCTCGGCTGGGATTGGAGTTTGAGCTTTCACGTGTACGGACTGAAAGGAGGTGCTATCGGAATGCTGAGGAGTTTCAAGGGGAGACAAATCGCTCAAGATGGGAGTCGGCAAGGAAGAATTGTTGTGCTCGGTCGACGGCGTACAGTTGCGAGTCCCTAGATGATGAGGCTGTTCTGAGGGCGCACACACAGAGGAATCCGGTTCTTTGTTGGGCCCTAAAGATGGAATTTCCTCTATCGGACGGTTGCGAGAAGTGCTGATCTCATCCAAATGATTTGAAGATACGATGCTATAAGCCGGGGATTTGTTGGAGACGAGAGGGCCCGAGTGTTTTTGGTTGGAGTGGGCACTCGGGTCCGCACCCGCTTTTGGAGATAATCGTCCAAGCAACTTCGCCTTCATCGCCTTCAGACGTGATATCCGTGACATTGTGAGTCTTCAAATCATTCTGAGAAGAGAAAAGTGGAAGAAAACAAAACTAAATGTTCTCTGTTCCCTGTTCCTCTCCCAGATAAGAACAATCACGTACTTTTCGCACTGTCAAAGCCAGAGAGGGTAAAGGTCAAAGAAGGTCGAGAGGGGAAACCTTTGAACTGTGATATCTTTGGGCAGTCACGTTAGTTGCTGATCTCCCGGCCAAAAAAAAAAGCTATGGCCTTTTTCAAGGCTAATGCTGGGCTAATCTGCAAGGATTTGGGGTTTGCATGGGCAGTTGGAGTATTTTTTGTAAAGTATATATACATAAATATCTAAGATTGTTAGGCATCTAAATTGTGGAGTCTTTTCTGTTGGGCGAAAAGACAGAGAGAGAGAGAGAGAGAGAGAGAGCTAGAACAGAGTATATATGGGAGCATGGAGCTTGAAAATAGTATTTCTATTTGGAGAACCTCGAAGGTTCGCCAGACTTGACCTCAAATCAACATCCAGAGTTACATTAAAACGAAGACCACTTGAATTCACACAAAAAATCCCCCCCCCCCCAAAGGGTCGACTTCAGCCCTACCATACGGTTCACATATAGCCACATAAAAAGGGCCGAGTAGCATGCCCTGAAAGCGCTAGATTTAGCCAGAGGCAGGGCTAATGGTTCTCAGACTGACCGAAATATTCCTTAAGAGCTGTATCTGCCGTTGCATTCCATGGCAAGATGTACCCATCCGTCTTGGCCTGTCAATTGGGTATAGAGGTTGACGTTGTCCTAGCTACACAAAATAAATGTTCCATCCAAAGACCACGCGGTATCTATAAATTAGTAGATGAGATCATGAAGGCACAGTGTATTGTATTGGAGTGATTCTTATGTACAAGAAAAGAGGAAAGGAGAATCAGTCTAATGCTACGGGTAAATCATATGATATTAAAAGATTCAAAGACCCCCCACGATTAGTGGTCCATAGATCGTTTAAAAAAGAACCCCTCCCCCCACTCTTGTCCTTTCCTCCGAAACAATGAAGCCATTTAGGGTTTCTAAGTAAACTATCTAGTTACATGTAGTATAAAAAAATATCACTATAGGATTCTCACGATTAGCTAGATAGGCTTGACCGATCTTTTCTTAGGAACCGGCCCTTACATTACTTGCAAAAATTACAGACCCTCCTCTGAGAGGGTCCGCCACCTATGTGCAACATACCACCCAAATGGGCAATTGTACCGTTTACTAGGCGGATCACACAAACTTATACAATTGCTGATTTTTTAGTACTA